CTGTTATGGCAAGTATCTATTTAGAAAAGTTTGGGTCCCTAACTCTAGCTTACCTGTTGGGTCCTCACTGTCTCCTACTATGGCAAGTATCTATTTAGAAAAGTTTGGGTCTCTAACTCTAGCTTACCTATTTGGTCCTCACTGTCTCCTGTTATGACAAATATCTATTTAGAAAAGTTTGGGTCCCTAACTCTAGCTTACCTGTTGGGTCCTCACTGTCTCCTACTATGGCAAGTATCTATTTAGAAAAGTTTGGGTCTCTAACTCTAGCTTACCTATTGGGTCCTCACTGTCTCCTGTTATGACAAATATCTATTTAGAAAAGTTTGGGTCCCTAACTCTAGCTTACCTGTTGGGTCCTCACTGTCTCCTGTTATGGCAAGTATCTATTTAGAAAAGTTTGGGTCTCTAACTCTAAAGTTATACATACTGAAATCTATAAAGTAGATCATTCTTCTAATGCAGCCCCACAACATAGATTATTCTACTAATGCAGCCCCACAACATAGATTATTCTAACTAATGCAGCCCCACAACATAGATCATTCTTCTAATGCAGCCCCACAACATAGATCATTCTTCTAATGCAGCCCCACAACATAGATCATTCTTCTAATGCAGCCCCACAACATAGATCATTCTTCTAATGCAGCCCCACAACATAGATCATTCTTCTAATGCAGCCCCACAACATAGATTATTCTACATTTTTCTTCCCATCTTAATTTTAAGAGCTTTTAGATTCAATCCATTATAGAAATTTAAAGGGAGAGAAAAATTTGCCTTTTTTCTGTTTCCTGAAACTTCATTAACTACACAAGTCTACTGAAAACCAACCCTTACAAGAAGACACCTTATCTTTACTTAATCATCCTCTGTCAGTAAAAAACAGAACAATTCAGTGGCTACATGACATGGCCATATGCATCTGCCACCCAGATCAATCTGTCATAACAAGATTCAATTTTTAAAGTTGCACTTCTACTAATTACCCTAACAGTTTCATCAATCAAGTTCTCAAGAACAACCCAAAAATTCTAGATGAACTTGAAGAAACAATGAACAATAACCACACACCATTTCTTCCCTTCCAGCTTTAAGCAACAAGCTACAAAGAATCTGAAAGGAGATCTTAGCAAAAAATATAAAGAAGTTCAACTAGGGTACGTCACCAAGAACTCAACTAACTGGACAAACCATTACAAAACAAACAATACTGTATTTCAAATAAAATGTTAATATGTAAAAAACTGCATAAGTAAAACAAGGCAAACTGTTTCTGTCAGAAATAAAGATAATAAAAATGCATAAATACCTGGTTAACCAAAGTCTTCTGCTAAATATTCCCTATCTTCCGACTATACACCGAAAAGACTGAGCTTACCACTGAACAAAGACTCTTCTGGGTCAGCAAGAATATAACATAGCCCGGCGGGGATTAAGGAATTAAACTGAACACTGCTTGGAATGAGTTACAAACTATCTATCTATCATGCATTTCTACCTTCTTATTTTATATAGAAATTTTTGTTTAGTCTAAGTCAGTAAGTTTTCACATAACACGAAAATCATTAAGTTGTCTTCATTCTTTATCATTCTATGAAAGATAACATTGCTCTGCCCATGTGAAGTATAACTATACCTTGTGCATGAAGATCCACAGCAGTGACCTCCAATGGTATGTCAAGTGATACCCGAAGGCTACTATGTTTGAATGGGGATGACCAATCTAGTCATTCTGGGCAAGTCCAACTAAGTATTGTGAGATTTAAGCATCTTGGAACATTGGTCAACTTGGAAATACGTTTTGAGGGAGTATAGCCAGTCTGATCAATCCAAAAACTCCAATAAAAGTGACTGTTTGTCATTCAAAGATGCTATCACATCTAAATAAATGTTGTTACATTGAGTATTAAACTTTATTTTCAGCCCATTCATTTCTTAGCACAGTCTCGGTTAGTTTTGAAGAACTCAGAATTACTCTGGAACATATCTTACCATTATATAGTGGACCCACATAATTTACTCAGTCTCTGTTAGTTCTGAAGAACTCAGAATTACTCTGGAACATATCTTACCATTATATAGTGGACCCACATAATTTACTCAGTCTCTGTTGGAAATTGGTTTTAATATAAATACAACACAGTCACACAAGATAAGAATTCAGCATAGTTTATCACAGTCAAAAATCCTCCAGCAGTTGCTATTCATAATATTCCTGCAACTTTTTACCAAAACAACTTAAATGTCTTCATTACTTCAGAACTCACTATTATAAGGTTTCTTTAATAGGAGTATACAAAAGTTATAACTACAACGTATAAAGGTTTGAAAGGAATTGTTATACAGAATTATGAAGAAATTAATTCAAATAAGAAAACAAGTTGAGACACAAGGTTCTGAAATGAAAATATTTTATTATACAAGTAATTACCCGCAACCAAGAGTCGAGTAAGATTCTGCATTTAAAAAAAATATATCTTAAGTTGTCACTTTCATAGAAATATGGTCACAAGAACAAATTCTGTGCTAACTAACTAGGCTTACATCTTGAATAGCTTTGTAGAATCACCAATCAAAACCCCTCTTTCTTCCTACATGACAGCCATCTCAGGGAATTACTAAACTGAACCACATATGAAAATAGAGGTATTCTGTACAGTGTCCTTCAACAGATAAACCCTTAAGGTATGTCCAAGGATGGGAATAGAAGTACAGAAAAAGGTTGAATATAAGTAAGAGGAAAGGTATGTCCAAGGATGGGAATAGAAGTACAGAAAAAGTTTAAATGTGAGTAAGAGGAAAGGTATGTCCAAGGATGGGAATAGAAGTACAGAAAAAGTTTAAATGTGAGTAAGAGGAAAGGTATGTCCAAGGATGG